AGTAAAAATCCATATATGCAAAAGCAGATGAAGTTCATGGTAACATATCAAATCCAAGCCATCACACGAAAGCGTTGAGCTTTTGATATAACTGAAAATCATGAGAAGCGTTAGTAACAAAGAAATCGGCATAGTATCGTGGCACTCTCAGAATCGACGTTTTGATTGGAATTGATCTTTAAGAGCTCCGTCTTCCCACTCTAAATTGTTCCACCACTCATCTTGTCCATAGATTGCAACCAATGTGTCCTTGGCAGAGTTGGAATTCAAAGGAAGCTTCCTCAGCTTTGGGCAATAATCTACTTTGATGAATTTTAGGAAAGGAAAAGCCAATGCTCTCTTGTAAATGCTCTCTAGCTTCGGCAGGCCATGAAGGCGAAGATGTGTAAGATTTGAAAATATATGACTGTCAGCGTCCTCTCTATCTGCCCCACAATCTTCCTTCACCACTTCTTCAAATGAGTTACGGAATTCCGTCCAACAATTCTCACCCTTCTAAGGTTGTGAAGAGGGCATGGGCCAGAGATGGACGAACCTTCCACTATATTAACTCGGTAGAAACCTACATCTTCTAGATTCTTCATTGCCGACAAAGATTCTAATATCGACGTCATTTCAAGTTGGTCCTTGATTCCATTAAGATAATATAATGTTGAGCAATCCCGCAATTTGGTGGAGTGTAGTAGTTTATGCATGCCAGCTAAGGTTGATAAGTCAATCCACAGTTCCTCCAACTTCGGTAAGGACTTCAACTTCTCTAAGAATGTTTTCTCTCCCTCGAAATATTCAAGGTCCCCAATATATACAAATCTAAACACACTCAATCGCACCAAACTTTCTATCGTATTGGGATATCAATGCAATGCGGAAGACTGGATTAAATTTAATTAAAAATAAAGAGAAGAAAGTGAATAATGGAGACAAGATTTTAATGTGGAAAAAACTCTAAATTAAAGAAAAAATTCACGAACGACGACGAACAAAATAATTTTACTATATAAAAGGAAAAGTACAAGAAGTCCTCTAAAATTATGAGGATAAAGAGTAATAAATCTCACTATTTTTCTCTCAATAAATACTCTTTCAAAATAGAATAAGAGTTATAAAATATCACTCTCAATTTTCTCTCTGATCTGTAAATGATCGTATTCTGTTTATGTGATTCTTTTTCGTTCGTTCCTTCGCTGGTTCATTGCCTTTTATAGGCAAAATTTTGCTACAGTAATTTGCCAAAATTCAACATTGCTACAGTGAACAGTGCCAATCTTTGCTGAAAAATTGAAATCGGTGCCTACCAAATTTGAAAACTGAGCCATCCAATTTTGACTAACAATAAGTGGCTTCTTGACTCTGCATGCACATACCACATGTGTGCTTATAGAGATTTATTTACCACTTTTGAACCAGTTAATAGTGGTATTGTCTTGATGGCTAATAATACCCAATGCAAAGTTGAAGGAATAGTCAGATCAAGGCTCAAGATGTGTTGTTAGGACTCTAACTAATGTTCGCTTTATTCCTGAATTATGGCACATGCGCCTGGGCCATATGAGTGAAAAAGGCATGCACCTTTTGAGCAAGCAAGGTCTTCTTGGCAATCAAGATATCGGTAAGTTGGAGTTTTGTGAACATTGTGTCTTTGAGAAACAGAAAAAAAAGTAAGTTTCTCTACTGCAACTCACCGAACAAAAGGTATTCTTGATTATATTCATTCTGACCTCTGGAGGCCTTCTAAAGTTCCCTCTTGTGGAGGACGCCGTTATATGATGACTAATATTAATGATTTTTCTCGCAAAGTTTGGGTTTATTTTCTCAGGTATAAAAATGAGACATTCCCCACTCTTAAGAAGTGGAAAACTCTTGTTGAAACTCAGACAGGGAGAAAAATCAAGAAGCTCAGAACGGATAATGGATTGGAGTTATGTGACGGTGAATTTATCGAGTTCTGGGCAAATCATAGAATTGCTAGACATAAAACCATTCCAAGAACACCCCAGCAAAATGGTGTTGCAGAACGAATGAATAGGACTCTACGTGAGAGAGCTCGTTGTATGCTCTCAAATGTTGGGTTATGGCATCGACGTGAATTTTGACCCGAAGCAGTATCAACTGCTTATTACTTAGTTAATCGTTCTCCACACTCGTCACTTAATTTCAAAATTCCAGAAGAAATTTGGTCAAGTAATCCTGTTGATTATTCCAATTTGAGAATCTTTGGATGTCCTGCTTATACACATGTCAATGATGGCAAATTAGCTCCAAGAGTTATTAAGTGCATATTTCTTGGTTATGCATCTGAATCTAAAGGATATCGTTTATGGAATCCTAAGTCACAAAAATTAATTCTCAGCAGAGATGTGACTTTTAACGAGGATGCTTTATTATCTTCTGAAAAATAATCTTCTGTAATTTCTTCTACTAGTACTAATAATTTGTAGGGTACTAGCGAGAAGGTGGAGTTGGAGTTGAAATCTACAACTCCTAATGTTGATGGTCCATCTTCTTCTATTAATGAGTCTAGCACTGATATATGTGGTGATGATGATGTTGATGAGATTACCACTTCTCCGATTCAACCGCAGGAAGAGGAGTATTCCATTGCCCAAGACAGATCAAGAAGGACGATTACTAAGCCAGCTAGATATGCAAATTATGCTTGTGATGATAATTTAATTGCATATGCATTATCTATTGCATAAGAAATAAATGATAACATTGAACCAACCAGCTATACTGAGGCTGTTTCTTGTGCTGATTCTTCAAAATGGCTAGTGGCTATGAATGAAGAAATTAAAAGTCTTCATAAGAATGGTACTTGGAGTTTAACAGAGCTTCCCAAAGGCAAACGGATTTTGAAATGCAAATGGGTCTATAAGAAGAAAGACGATATTCCCGGGATTGAAGATCCTGGATGCAAGGCACGATTGGTTGTTAAAGGCTTTAGCGAAAAGGAAGGTGTTAACTTTAATGAAATTTTTTCACCTGTTGTTCGTCATACCTCCATACGTGTTTTGCTTGCTTTTGTTGCTTTATTTGACTTGGAATTGGAGCAACTTGATGTTAAGACAGCTTTTCTGCATGGAGAGCTGGAAGAGGAAATTTATATGGAGCAACCTGAGGGATTTATTGTTCCTAGTAAGGAGCATGTTATCTGCCGATTGAAGAAATCTTTATATGGACTCAAATAAGCTTCGAGACAATGGTACAAAAGGTTTGATTCCTTTATGATTGGGCAAGGTTATTGCATAAGTCAATATGACGAATATATTTATTTTCAAAAACTTTCTGATGAATCTTACATATACTTGTTACTATATGTTGATGATATGTTGATTGCATCACGTGACAAGTCTCTGATCAGGAAAATGAAAACTCAACTCAATAATGAGTTTGAAATGAAAGAATTAGGTGCAACTAAGAAGATTCTCGGTATGGAAATTTGCAGGGATCGTCAAGCTGGTAAATTGTTCCTATCTCAACAAAAATACATTGAGAAAGTACTTGATAGGTTTAATATGTCTAATTGAAAACTTGTTTCCACTCTACTTGCTGCACATTTCAAGTTATCATCTGATCTTTGTTCTGAGACAGAGGAAGACATGGAGCGTATGTCACACGTTCCTTATGCTAGTGTTGTTGGCAGTCTTATGTATGCTATGGTATGCACTAGACTTAATTTAGCATATGTCGTTAGCATGGTGAGTCAGTATATGCATAATCCTGGAAAGGATCATTGGAGTGTTGTAAAATGGATTTTTTGGTATCTCAAAGGTACTTCTGATATTGGCTTGGTATTTGATAGAAATCATGCAACAACTGAAGTTATAGGTTTTGTTGATTCGGATAATGGTGGCGATCTTGACAAAAGATATCTTTCTAGTTAAATATTTACTCTCTGTAACTGTGCTATTAGTTGGAAAGCTCAGCTTTAGTCTCTTCCATCATTATCTACGACTGAAGCTGAATATGTTGCAGCAACAAAAGGTGTGAAAGAGACTTTTTGGCTTAAAGGTCTGATTAATGAACTTGGTCTTACACAAAATATTCTTAATGTGTTTTGTGATAATCAGAGTGCTATTTACTTGTCCAAGAATAACCGCTACCATGACAGGACAAAACATATTAATGTGAGACATCATTTTATCCGAGAAATTGTTGTTAAGGGTGAAGTCATGGTTCAGAAGATTCATACATCTGAGAATTCAGCTGATATGCTTACTAAGCCTCTTCCAAAGGCCAACTTCCAACATTGCTTGGACTTGGTTGGTCTCTACAGCACTTGAACGCCCTTCGGGGTTTAAACGGCGTCGAGCAATTTATCAAAACTGATTCAAGGTAGAGATTGTTAGTCAAAATTGAATGGCTCAGTTTTCAAATTTGGTAGGCACCGATTTCAATTTTTCAGCAAATGTTGGCACTGTTCATTGTAGCAATGTTGAATTTTGGCAAATTACTGTAGCAAAATTTTGCCTATAAAAGACAATGAACCAGTGAAGGAACGGACGAAAAAAATCACATATACAGAATACGATCATTTAGGGATCAGAGAGAAAATTGAGAATGTTATTTTGTAACTCTTATTCCATTTTGAGAGAGTACTTATTGAGAAAAAAATAGAGTGATTTATTACTCTTTGTCTTCATAATTTTAGAAGACTTCTTGTACTCTTCTTTTTACATAGTGGAATTATTTTGCTCGTCGTCGTTCGTGAGTTTTTTTTTCGATTTGGAGTTTTTCTCACATTAAAATCTTGTCTCCATTATTCTCTTTCTTCTTTTTATTTCCAATTAAATTCGATCCAGTCTTCCGCATTGCATTGATACCCCCAACATATCACTTCCAAAGGAATTATTTGAAGATCAAATCCAACATATTCCATGACCAACACACTTAAATTTTCCAAATTCTTCAGCTCAATTGGAAACCTTTCCAGTATTGTTGTCCTTGACAGATTCAGGAATTCCAAGTTGATTAACTTGCCAATTTCCGAGGGAAGATGCTCAATTCCGATTCTTGACATTCCCACCATTTCTAGTTCCAAACTTCTCCATAGATCGTCTACCATGAATACAAATTTTTTTTTGCTTCAGGACTTGATAAATCCTTGCCACTTTTTGATTTTGACTACTTCTGTTCCAAAAGTTATCATCGATCTCTAACCTGTTTCGAATATCATTCATAATCCTATTGATATCACAATCTCTAGAAACTACGACCCACAACACTACATCAAAGTGGAGGTTCCTTTTTCCAAATTCATTATGAATTCTTTTCATAAGAGTGGTTTTTCCAGCCCCACCCATTCCATACAAACCAATGATGCCTATATTTTCATCTTCAATACTATTCCAAACTTGATTGAGCATCAAATCCAAGCCTACAGTCTCAACAGAGGGCATTTCATCAACTGGCTTGGGTGGTAGCTTATAAGCAATATCAACACTACCAAAATGCTCCCGTCTAGTCAACAGTTCATTCACATTTTTGAGCATATGAACGATTCTTTTTCCAGACTCGTAGCTTAACACACAATTCTTTGGACGACAACCACTCAGACATTTATTATTGGAAATTTCTTGATGAACTGTATTAATTTCCATCATTTCCTGTAAGAACATGCGGATAAGCGTGAATCATGATTAATATATTTTTAAAAAATTATTTATTATTTATTTACCTTTTAATCTCTAACACAATTATTGAGGGATTTAAATCTCTTTATCTATCTATTGCCAACGTATAATGTGTTGATAAACATTTTATAATTTAAAGCATTTACTCATTTTCTAACAATATCTTTATATTTTAAGAACAATTTTTATACATTTTCGAGGTTTGAAATTGGCAAATCATACAAAGACTTTTGTACTTGGTGAGTATATAAAAACATCCTTACACAATATGGACAAATCAAATGATGTGTTAACTGTTCTAATACAAGGAATTATTTTTGCTTACGAAAAATTAATATTTTTATTCTTTAAGTTGAAGATTAATTTTGATATCATTCTTACTTTTTATTTAATTTAATATTTTTATATTTATTTTTTATCAAGTTATTTTTTTGTTTTAAGGATACTAAATATCGTTGAAAAATAATTTTCAATTTAATTGAGAGTTTCTCTAAACATTATATTATAGTTGAAGTGTGGGCATCAAAAACTTACTTCATAAAATTCTAATTTTGGACTACCATTTTTTATTTTGTTTTCTTTCAATGATTATTAAAATTCTTTCAGAGATTAGTTCAGATGTTGAGTTATGATGAGTTAAAACTTTGTTTAATTCATTAGTTAAAACGATGGATTGAATCAAATTATTTTATGAATCATTTTGCTTCAAACAAAAATTTTTATATTTTTCCAAAGGTTGATGGATTTTCCTTTCATTATTAAATTAAACTTTTTCCCTAATTTTTTGTGTGTGTGTTTCATCATCTAATATGAAAAATTTGATGAGTCATTGTAACCTGGTTCATTATTCTATAAAGAAACTTAGTTCTTAACAAAATTCTAAAAAGATTTAATATTGTTATAACCAAAAAAAAAATAACTTACTACATAAATAAAAATTAGAAGATTGATTTATATTAAAAAAATGAAGAATGAAAACTAAATTAACCTTAAACTCGGAGGAGAAAAATACTATTTTTTTTCTTTACATATCTCTATTCTTTTAAAAGCTATAGTATATAAAAAGAAATCTTATATTGAATATTAATTAGTGTATCAAATCTATTCTTACATACACCTTTAGTGAGAGGGTATAAAGGTTAAGAGAAGCTAAGAAGAGAAGAGATAGAGAAAGAAGATGCAACAAAAGAAGGAGGAGAAAAAAACAAAGAAAGAAAAAGAGAAAGGAAAGAACATTGAGAATTTGAAGGAGATCTGTAAAGAAGTTGAAAGAAATTCAAATTTAAAGTAAAAAAAAAAATAGATGGAAAGCTTAGAGGGACGGAAGAAACTTGAAGAACCAATAAAAGAATGGAGAGAATCAAGCATTGGTTGATGGAAATACATGACTACGCAAAGATTTTATTTTATTTTTTGGTTTATGAATTCAAAATGAATTAATTGCATTTTTTTTTATAAAATTTGTAGTTGACTATATGTCCAACATGTTAAATAATGTTTATCAAACTGACCTATGTTATATTAAAAATCTCATTTAATTAGTTAATTTATTAAAAAAAAATATCGATTTGATTTAACGTAAAAGTTTATAAAACAAAAAAAAGACAAGTGATTGTAAAAGAAAAAGATATTATTTTAAAATAAATAAATAAAATTTATAATATAAAGTAGATAAATTTTTAGTAATTGATTATACTTAATAATGGTTTGAAATTATATCGTAAGATGAACGTCTAATAAATATATGTCAATTCAACGTTTTATATATTTGTTATAATGCCTTAGCTTTTCCATAACTAACGATAAATTTATATAATAAATATTAACCAAATTTTATTTTCTATCATTCTTTTTATAAGACACTTTTAATAAATTATGTAAATTAATAAAATAATTTAACTAATTTTTTGATTTTACAAAAATATTATAAATTTTATTTTCTTTAAATATTATTGAACCTATCCTTACTATTAATATTTATTTTAATTGATTCTAATTGATATTTTTATTAACACTATTTACGATAAAATAATAATAAATACTTCATAAAAATTATTAAATTGACTCACGTTAAGAATCAGTAAAGTCTTCCAAATTTTGTCTTATAAAAAACTAAAAGAAGTAATTTCAATTATTTGTTATTGTGACATTCTTTTACTTAACAAATTTCTAAATTTCACCACTCTCAGTTTCACCGTCATTGAATACAATATTGTTATGATAACAAATATTTTTAACCGTCAATCTATTTATTTGAATTGAACGAAGTAGATGAATCTTGACTGATATTATAATTTTTTAACTGTTCATACATATATTTTTTATTAATTGAATAATTTTTTGTTATCATTTCTATTGCTTAACTATTCAAATTTTAAATGTACACAATTGTACCTTTATTATTTATTTTTATGAATTAAATTTTATGAAAATAGGCTGAAAATGCATATTATTATTCAAAATATATCTTTACTATTAAGCAAAGAAGATTTTTTTTTTCTCATACTCTCCCTGCTTTATTTTGTTTCATTACTTTTTCTATTATTTCAATTACTGTAACATGTTAAAATTAAATATATAGTTAATTTGTATTTATCTAAAAATTAACAATATTATATAAATTTTTTCGATGTTACAAACAGTTGCAATTAGGTGAGAAGAAAAAAAGTAACCATAAAAGTGAATTCTAGAAAATAAGAAAAAGGAGTATTTAAAGTTTAATATGAAATGAAATGAGCAAAGAATTGAATGGACAAATGGATATATATACCTCTTGAAGATGATGAATTGTTTGCAGCCAACCATTAACTTCATTTGTCCTTAGCCTCTCTGATGTGGCCTCAGCTTCATCTATTCTTATTTGAACGTCTCTGCTCAAGTTTTGAAGAGCATCAAACTTCATTTGCAGTGATGTTAGATTCTCCTCCAACTTGTAAACATATGCGGCATGGACTTTACCACAACGGAACAAACAAGTAGCAGCGTCCCAAAGCATTCCTACCAACTCCATCACTGTGATCTATTTCTTCAGATCTTCAAGGCTTCAACCGTTGTCACTTATGCCTTCCATCTTTTCTCCAATACTTCCAGCCAACTTGAGAGTGGTGTTCAACTTTTGCTTAAAAGACTAAGACAAAGACAAAGACAAAGGTGGACTTACTCTTTAATAACTTTTCTTTTCTCTCTCTCATCATTCAGAAATTGGATGCCAGTTGTCTTTGCCGGATAATCACTTTCATGTAGTATATATATCACAACAATCACTTTATATATCATTTTAAAATAATTATGGACAAAAAAATACTTATAATGCATTGATTATAATGATAATTTAAATTAATTTTTCAAACAACGTCTTTAGAGTATCGTTTAATAAAATTTAAATTATGGGAGTAGGAAGAATAGGGATAACACTACTGGTGCTAAAGAGACTTCCACTGGGTGGCATCGATCCATTGAATAAAGGTTTTGATACCATAAAGCCCAATGGTTTTATGCAATAGCAAATGAGATAAATAAATTTTGATGAATCAATAATCAATTGCCACTTGTCAATAACTGTAAAGTGTGTTAACTTATGGTGCTCTTTGAAAATAATAAGTACAAGGATTGCCAAAATAAAGTTCAACTACTAAGTTAAACACCTTCCAGCAATCGAAATTTCTATGCTCATACTGGTTTTGATAATAAAATTTTTAATATTCTTTTTTATTTTCTTCTATTTTTATCTTTCTTTAAATTATAAAAAAATTGTTTTTATTATAGAAAACGAAAAAAAGAAGCTTATCCTCTGGTTTTGATTTGGAATCGGCATGAAATTCATGTTTTAATACCGAATAATTCTTGATTTACTTTTTAAAATTTTCCTTTATATTACAAGTATGAATCTTACTCTTGGATTAAAAATATTTTTATGACTTATTATTTTTCTCATTAAGTTGTGCATTTTTTTTATATTAAGTATCCTATTTTATGTTTATTTTATCCCAAATCACTTAAATTTAGATTGAATTTTGATATACTACATCAACTTAAAATTATTTTTATTTTTAAGATTAAGATAAATTAATTTTTAATATTTGTTGTAATAATATTTTTTCTTAAATTGAATTTAATTTTTAATTTTGACATACCATATTAATAAATATGAGTCTTAATTTAAATATATTTCTTAATTTTAAAACTTTATCCTTTAATTCATTTTATATAAAAATAAATTTATTTAACAATAAAATTACCTTTGATTTTCTTTAATTTATTTTTATCATTAATTTCACTTAAAATTTAAAAAATACCCGTATATATAAGAAATTTGGTAGTTAATAATTAAAGCTGCATTAAATAAAATAAAATAAAAGTCGGATTGAATGCACCTCTTATGTTACGAGTGTTATATGTTTAATTTTTAAATAATAATAAATATAAAATTAAATATAGATAAAGGAGAAAACAAAAATGAAAATATGGAAGGATAAAGAGTATGTTTATTTTTTATTTTTAAAATAATTTTTATAAAATAAATTTTTTTATTAACATAAATTTTATTTTATTTTTTCTTAATTTTTTAAATTGTTTTAAATATAATTTTAAAAAATTAATAACCAAAACAAAAATAAACAAACCTTTAGTATTATTTTAGTATTAAAGAAAACTTAGTTCCATTTTATTAGAATATTGTAGAAAAATAAATATTAAAAATATTTTCTAAATAACTTCATTCAACTGAGTTAGTCAACGACTCTAACTTAGAGAAAAATAATAAGTAAATAGTGTCACGACCCCTTTTTGTAAGGAATCGAGAACATTGTTTGTACATCACATACTTATTTAAGATAAATAAATAATAGAAAATATAAGTATGAAATTCTCTTCTCAATTAAAATAAAACAAAGTTTCTTACAACAAATATCCAACAGAACAACATAATATTACATTTAGTTCATAATATTTAAAATACCCAAAATTATACTACGTAGCTCCCTCTACATGAGGTCTCAAAATATAAGGAAAAAGGACTTTGATGCAATATTACTCGACCCCAGCTTCAATCATTTCTTCACTGGCCCCTCAACCTGTGAAGTAGATGCAACACCTGCTACATCTACTCACGTACCACCGTACGATTATCGCAGTACACACGCACACAACGACATAGAAAGAAATGCAAGGGTGAGCTTACCAAACTTAAAATAAAATCATATATATAGAGCAAAATATTTCTCACAGCAATAATCCCATGCATTTCTAGCCCATCTAATGCACAGCATGAAAACGGTTTCCAATTAGTTTCACAGCCTAAGTAATCCAGAAGAAACCGAGCCGGTCTGGGAGCGACTCATTCCGGTATCTGGATCCAGACAGCACAGCACAATAGCTTAGCATAAACTTACCGTTACATATCTACCCACTTAAACATGTAACTCGGCTCTATAATAATGCAAAATATATATCTCAGCATGATGCACACTGCCAAAGTTATTTTAACAGCTCAACTAAAGCAAGTTTATAATAGATCAGCCAAAATCTCAGCATTTTAAATCAATTAACAGCAGTTACAGCTTAGAAAATAGCTTTTATTCAATAGATCTAACAAAATCATATCAAAATATCTTGAAATAGCATATTAAACTGTTCAAAACGTAGTTCATAGGTTAAAGTAAACTCCCCTTACCTCAGAAAGATGATTCACACTAGATCTACCGAATATTACTTGTTTTAATGCAAGATTCACCGAAGATTCGGCTTTAGAATGGAGTTTCTCCTAAGAACACCATGAACTTCTATGAGAAAGAGAAGGAGAAGAAAAACGAACTATAAATCTAGCTTTAAACTTAAAGAAACTTACTTCAAATTCTTCAGAATAGACGTAGAATCTCAGATCTGACGAGAAATTTAAGTTTAGAAGAGTTTAGTATGAGAGAAAATGGTAGTATGCGGCCTTAGAACCTTTGAGAACCTTGGATAGGGGTGAAGAAATGAAAATTTCGTGTGAAGCCCCCTGCCAGAATTTACTATTCATCGCCGGAAACACTGTTCACCGCCTTATTGTACATGCCAGAAACACTGTTCAGGACATTATTCACGTCAGAAAATACTGTGCACGCGTATGTGACGTCAGCCATGACGTCACTGATGACGTCAGCAGTCACTGTACATACGCGGGTTTTCACTGTTCATACGCGGTTTGCACTGTTCATACACGGTTTGTACGCGGTTTGCACTGTTCATAGGCGGTTTTACTGTTCATCTAACACTGTTTATACGGTACTGTTCACTTTTCTTTTTTTTTTTGTAAACTCCATCTAAATCTATTCCAATACCAATTAATCCTTCAATTAACATTTAACAAGTATAAAATATTATAGATTACTCAATAATAAATCACAGGCCTGACAATTCTCCCCCCGAAAATAAATTTTCGTCCTCGAAAATTTCATCGCTCAGAGAAAAGATGAGGGTACAACTCTCTCATTCTTTCCTCTAACTCCTATGTGGTATCACCAGTTACTGGTTCCCAAATAACCTTTACTAACCGAATAGACTTGCCTCTAAGTTCCTTAACTCTAGTATCCTCGATACGAGCAGTTGGGACCTCCACAGACAAATCATCCCGTAACACCACAACATCAGGCTCAATTACATGAGACGAATTAGGAACATACTTTCTTAGCTGCGACACATGGAAAACATTATGTAGTCCTGACAACTGAGGTGGTAACGCTAAATTATAGGCTACTGGTCCTCTACGATGTAATATCTGATACGGTCCTATGAACTTAGGTGTTAACTTCTTGGCTCTTAAGGCTCGCCCCACACCTGTAGTGCGTGATACTCTCAAGAATACGTGATCACCAATCTCAAATTCTAAGGATCTTCTGCGTCGGTCAGCATAAGATTTCTGTCGACTCTGGGTAGCTCTAAGCTTTTCTCTAATAAGTTCAACTTTCTCCTTAGTTTCTTGTAGCATTTCAGGCCCAACCATCAAATGTACTCCATCTTGGAACCAACAGATAGGGGTTCTACACCTTCTGCCATACAGAGCTTCAAATGGTGCCATATCTATACTCGAATGGTAGCTATTATTATAAGTGAATTCTACCAAAGGAAGCATATCCTCCCAATTACTCTTCTGGTCTACAATACAAGTCCGCAATAAGTCCTCTAAGGTCTGAATAGTACGCTCAGATTGACCATCTGTCTGCGGATGATATGCAGAACTCAACCTCAAATGTGTGCCCATAGCTTCTTGGAAACTCTGCCAAAACTGAGAAGTGAATTGAGGATCCCTATCAGAGATAATACTAGAAGGTACTCCGTGTAACCTGACAATCTCTCTAATGTACAATTCTGCTAATTTCTCCAAGCTAAAAGTCATGTTAATTGGCAAGAAATGCGCACTCTTGGTTAGCCTATCAACTATGACCCATACGGCATCATGATTTTTAACTGTTCTAGGTAGATGGGACACAAAGTCCATAGTCACATGGTCCCACTTCCACTCTAGAATTTCCATCGTTCTGCAACTCTCCTGGAGGGCTCTGCTGCTCCGCCTTTGCCTTCTGGCAAGTCAAACAAGCTTTAACAAATTCAACTATCTCTCGCTTCATGCCTGGCCACCAAAACATCTGCTTTAAATCTTGATACATCTTGGTAACACCAGGATGAATGTTGAGACAACCCTTATGTCCTTCTTCTAGAATTGCTCTCTTTAATTCAGTATATCTAGGGACACAAACTCGACCTTGGCATTTGAGAAAACTATCAGCACCTTTACTAAAACCCTTTGCTTTATCTGTCCCTAAGAGAAATACAATCCGACATAACAACGGATCCCACAGTTGTTTGTCTTTAATTTCCTGTAAGAAATTATTAGTCACCACAATTCGGCTGCAACTAATCTTTTCAGGTGATAAGTCCACATGTATGTTCAGGTCTCGGAATTGATCTACCAAAAGAGTTTCACTAACTCTTAAGGAGAATGCCTGAACCACATTCTTACTTAATGCATCGGCCACCACGTTAGCCTTTCCTGGATGGTATTGGAGCTGAAAATCATAATCCTTAAGGAATTCCACCCAACGTCTCTGCCTCATGTTTAACTCTCGCTGATCAAATAAATACTTCAGACTCTTGTGATCACTATACACATCAAACTGAGCTCCATAAATATAGTGCCGCCACACCTTCAGAGCAAAGACTACAGCAGCTAACTCAAGGTCGTGAATCGGGTAATTTCGCTCATGAGTTCACAATTGGCGAGATGCATAAGCTACCACTCTCTTATCTTGCATTAACACACATCTCAATCCCTGATGGGAAGTATCACAGTACACCTCAAACGGTCGACTAGTATCAGGGAGAATCAACACTGGCGAGGAAGTTAGTCTCTACTTCAACTCATTAAAGCTTTGTTCACATTTCTCAGTCCATACAAAGGGTTGATCACGGCGAGTTAACTGTGTTAATGGTGCAGCTATCTTCGCAAATCCCTCTATAAATCTCCGGTAGTAACCTGCTAGACCCACAAAATTACGAATCTCTATGGCTGTCTTTGGCCTTTCCCACTGCAACATCGCTTCAACTTTGGAAGGATCAACTGCAATTCCTTTAGCTGAAATAACATGACCAAGGAACTTCACTTCCTCTAGCCAAAACTCACACTTAGACAATTTAGCATACAACTATTTTTCCCTTAAAATACTTAGTACAGTCCTCAGATGCTCTGCATGTTCCTTTGACGAACTAGAATAAATCAAAATATCATCAATAAAGATTACCACAAATCGATCTAGGAAAGGTCTAAAGATCCGATTCATGTAGTCCATAAACACAGCTGGAGCATTTGTGACTCCAAAAGGCATCACTATATACTCAAGTGGCCATATCTAATACGGAAAGCAGTCTTAGGAATATCTTCATCCTTCACTCGAATCTGATGGTACCCAGACTTCAAATCAATCTTAGAGAATACCTTAGCACCTCTCAGCTGGTCCATCAAATCATCAATTCGCGGCAACGGGTACTTATTCTTAATTGTCAACTTATTTAACTTGCGATAATCAACACATAATCTAGATCTGCCGTCCTTCTTTTTCACTAAGAGAACTGGTGCTCCCCAAGGTGATACACTCGGCCTAATCATCTATTTCCGCATTAGATCCTCGATCTGCTCCTTAAGCTCCATCAACTCTTTCGGCGCCATTCTGTAAGGTGCTACAGACACTGGCTCAGCTCCAGGAATCAAATCTATAGAAAACTTCACCTCTCTACGTGGAGGTATTCCAGGAATATCCTCTGGAAAAATCTCAGGGAATCGTACTACTGGTATTGACTGAAGGCTTTGCTCCACTTCTACATTCATAACTCCCAACAAAACAAAACAAGATACTTCCTCACCTAAGGATGTTTCTACCTGGTGAGTAGAAATTAATTCCACACAGCCTTGCTGCTCAGGAAAGATTAAACACCTCCGGCCACAATCAATTAGCACACAATTGGCAGTTAGTCAATCCATACCCAGGATTACATCTAACCCTGACATTGGGATACAAATAAGGTTTACTTTGTACTTTTGTCCCTCAATTACTATCGGACACCTAACACAAACCATTGAAGTCTTAATCGAACTTAAAGTAGGTGTCGATACTACCAATTCACATCCTAGATCGCTCACTGGTAACCCTAAGGTTCTCACACAAATGTCCGCAATAAAAGAGTGCGTGGCTCCAAAATCAAACAATACAGAAAGAGAAGTACCTGCCACTACTGCTGTCCCCTGAACGAGATTTGTCGCCTGGGTTGCCTCTGATGCAGAAGTAGTGAATACACGTCCCTCTGCTCTCGATCTAATTCTCGTCGGAGCTCTAGTCGCTTTAGGTCTCATAGCGTGCAAGGCGCTAGCAGAAGACGAAACTGCCCCACTAGGCGTAGGACAGTCCCTAGCAAGATGCCCTGGCTGCAGGCATGAGAAGCAAACTCTGACATCAGTCTGTGGGCACTGGCTCAGGTAGTGTGGCCCACCACATATGAAACATCTAACAATCTGCGGCACTGAGGCTCTAGGGATGGAAGAAGTTGCTCCCCTAGGCTGAAATGTAGAAGTAGCAGTCCCTATTGGCACCGGGGCTGATGCTGCCAATCCTCTCGACTGAGATGGTCGAGATTGCTGTTGGCGTAGCGACCGACTGTAGGGGCCCTTCTTAGCACCCTTACTTCCATTACCATAGCTACTAGCAGCTCTACTAGATGGAGCCTTCCCAACTCCACCAACATCCTCTGCATTAAGACTCTCTATAATGGTGGCTTGATCCACCAAGTCAGCAAATTCCGTGATCCTAAGTGGGATCAAAATCCTCTTTATGTCAGTTCTCAGCCCGTCTGAAAACCTCTGACATCTCCACTCCTCCGAGGTCGGGTGAGAATAAAATCTGTAAAGCCGCTCAAACTGTATTGCATACTCATAGACTGATGAGTTTCCTTGCACCAAGTTTAGAAACTCCCGCTCTTTGGCAGCACGAACATGGGAAGGGAAAAACTTTCCCAGAAAAATACTTCTAAATATAGCCCAAGTGATGACTTCACCTCGGGCTTCCAGCATAGCACGAGCTCCGTGCCACCACATCTCTGCATCCTCTGTCAGCATATAAGTAGCATATAACACCTTCCTCTCCTTGGCGCAACCCATAGTTAGGAAGATCTTCTCAATCTCCCTAATCCAGAGTTCAGCAGCATCTGGTCCATCCACTCTCGTGAATTGAGGAGGATCATTCTTCTTGAACTCTGACAAACCATGGTATTCAGGAGGAGGTGCAGCTGAGGCAGTAGCTGCTGCTGCTTGTGCTGCAGCAGCGGCTTGGTTTGCAGCTTGCTGCTGCTGAATCATATCTAGACTCTGCCTAACAGTGGCTGCCATGGCCTCCATGGCGTGAGCCATTTGGTTCACGTCAGCAGGAGAAGGAGGGTTTGTAGCAGATCTTCTCGGTCTAGCCATCCTAATATATAGACTAGCTTAGTTTACTAACGTTTAATACATTCAGCAATACCATCACATAACTATATTCACAGATTCAGCTTACAGTGATATATTCATATTTAGTATATCATAACAATTTAATCAGTTTAGCATTGAGGATAACCTCATATCAGCATTCACACAGCATAGCAAATACATTTATCTCAGCAATCATTTACAGCTTAGCTTAACAACCTTTTATTCACGCAGCATGAATCGCCTATAGCTCACCCCAGTATCATATACCAAGTTTCCTACATCAGTCATGTCTGAGAACTGAGGTGATCAAACTCGTTCCCTCACAACTTGAGAATAGAAATCATGATATATGATTCACAGCTAAAATTCATATGTCTAATATGCACAAATGACACCTAACAACCTCACCCCGTAGGTTTACCTAGACCATGCTCTGATACCACTAAAATGTCACGACCCTTTTTTGTAAGGAACCGAGAACATTGTTTGTACATCACATCCTTATTTAAGATAAATAAATAATAGAGAATATAAGTATGAAATTCTCTTCTCAATTAAAATAAAACAAAGTTTCTTACAACAAATATCCAACAGAACAACATAGTATTACATTTAGTTCATAATATTCAAAATACCCAAAATTATACTACGTAGCTCCCTCTACATGAGGTCTCAAAATATAAGAAAAAAGGACTTTGATACAATATTACTCGACTCCAGCTTCAATCATTTCTTCACTGGCCCCTCAGCCTGTGAAGTAGATGCAACACCTGCTACATCTGCTCACGTACCACCGTACGATCATCGCAGTACACATGCACACAACGACATAGAAAGAAATGCAAGGGTGAGCTTACCAAACTTAAAATAAAATCATATATATAGAGCAAAATATTTCTCACAGCAATAATCCCATGCATTTCCAGCCCATCTAATGCACAACATGAAAACGGTTTCCAACTAGTTTCACAACCTAAGTAATCCAGAAGGAACCGAGCCGGTCTAGGAGCGACCCATTCCGGTATCTGGATCTAGACAGCACAGCACAACAGCTTAGCATAAACTTACCGTTATATGTCTACCCATCTAAACATGTAACTCGACTCTATAATGATGCAAAATATATAGCTCAGCATGATACACATCGCCAAAGTTATTTTAACAGCTCAACAAAAGCAAGTTTATAATAGATCAGCCAAAATCTCAGCATTTTAAATCAATTAACAGCAGTTACAGCTTAGAAAATAGCTTTTATTTAATGGTTCTAACAAAATCATATCAAAATATCTTGAAATAGCATATTAAACTGTTCAAAACATAGTTCATAGGTTAAAGTAAACTCCCCTTACCTCAGAAAGATGATTCACACTAGATCTACCGAATATTACTTGTTTTAATGCAAGATTCACCGAAGATTCAACTTTAGAATGGAGTTTCTCCTAAGAACACCATGAACTTCTATGAGAAAGAGAAGGAGAAGAGAAACGAACGGTAAATCTAGCTTCAAGCTTAAAGAAACTTACTTCAAATTCTTCAGAATAGACGTAGAATCTCAGATCTGACGAGAAATTTAAGTTTAGAAGGGTTTAGTATGAGAGAAAATGGTAGTATACGGCCTTAGAACCTTTGAGAACCTTGGATAGGGGTGAAGAAATGAAAATTTTGTGTGAAGCCCCCTTTTTATAGAAATTTTTCAAAATTTACTGTTCACCGCGCGGAATTTATTGTTCACCGCCGGAAACACTGTTCACCGCCTTACTGTTCACGCCGAAAACACTGTTCAGAGTACTATTCATGCTGGAAAATACTGTGCATGCATATTGTACGCGTATGTGACGTTACTGATGACGTCAGCAGTCACTATACATACGCGGTTTTCACTGTTCATACGTGGTTTGCACTGTTCATAGGCGGTTTTACTGTTCATCTGACACTGTTCATGCGGTGCGGTTTACTTTTTTTTTTTTTTTGTAAACTTCATCTAAATCTATTCCAATACCAATTAATCCTTCAATTAACTTTTAATAAGTATAAAATATTATAGATTACTCAATAATAAATCACAGGCATGACAAATAGAATAGAGAAAGAAAGTTAGGAAATAGATGTGTAAGTTTGGATGTAAAAGTGAAGAAAAAGTAGAATTGTAATTAGCACAACGATATGAAAGGTGAAGAGATCTGATTGGAACAAGACAATGTATATTCAATTAGATGATTTATCTTATGTTATAAATTATTATTAATTAATTAATTGAATAATATTTTTTATTAAATTTTATAATATTACGAACACATTGAATTTTATAATTTTAAATTATTATATTTTATATTTTCTATCCTTTAAAGCACATTTAAAAATAATAATAATAATATCATTTTGCTTTAGATATGTTTTGCCTTTCAAAATATATTATTAATTATTTTGATTCTTGTAAAATATTTTTTAAAATGTTATGTTTTTAAAATTATTGAATTTAATTTTTTTCACCTACGAATTTTTATATAAAAAATAACGTAATAAAAATTAATACGTAATAATATTTAAGTTTGCTATGTTATCATTTAATAATAATTAATGATTATAATAAAAAAATTTAAAAATATTTTTAAAAAAATTAAATTCAAATATTATATCTTTACCAAAAAAAAATAAAAATATTATATATTTTGATATATTATATGTTTAAGGTTATTGTTTATTGTAATTATAATGTCCGTGTGACCTGAGCTTATGTAATTGTAAGGTGTCATCAGAGTGTGAATTTGGTCATAGTAGCTACCAATGCCCCAAATGCCATGGCCACTAACCACCCATGCATATATTCATGTTCTTCATTCACTACTCTCTGTCTTCTTTCTTCTCTATAAACCTGCCCTTTTGATCATCAATTTGCCGTAAATTTTGTCTGTTTTCTTTGATGAAGAATATATGACTGACTGCTGTTTTTGTTTTGTAGACCCTACATATGCGAACTGAGAGTGCAAAGAAAAACTTGACATTTGTCCCTCTTGCTCCAGCTTGTGTGGTAAGCATGAATGCTCTTTCCTTCCCTATTTAATGGCTGCTGATTTAATATCTTTTCTTCTTTTTCTTGTTCTTAGGTCATTCAAGTTCTGTTCTGTTATTTTCAGCAATGACCTACGTTATGCTCACAAGCCTTACGGTTCTAATTGCCCTGGTTCTACAGAAGCATGCCAGATGGTATGTCAACCGCTGTCAAAGGAGGAAGCATCATCTTCATGCAGATTAACTTAATAAGCAACTAAATTAATTCAGTCTGCTTTTAAGGGATTCCCTTTCTTTTCTTGAAGAGCGCATGTGGAAAGATCCTGTGATAAAGTGTTGACTCGGAAGTCATCAGCAACGCTTGGCAATGAGAACAACTTTTGTAACTAATTGATTTTTAAACTTGAAGGTGAGCCTGTAGGTGATTCCTCCTTTGCAGTTTTATTAGTATAGTAAATAATTTTCCAAGAGGAACACGAAGTTATTGGCTGTGCATTGTTGATGGCATCCTTATGTTGTACCATAGTTATGCTCATGCACGAGTTCTTTGAAGCTGTGCAGCGGAGGCTTATGAATGAATGTACATCTAACATTATCCACACTCTTATTTTTGCTCTTTAAAATGCTACGGTACACTACGCAAGGAATTTATTAACGAGAAAAACGAAACGTCTTTCTTTACATGTAAAGTTTATTGTAGCTTTCACCTTATCTATGCTCGTGCAAAGCACTGGCCTGTTATATAGTTCTCTGTAAGGGAAATTCGTGATAGTCTTTTCTTATTTGCCATGTTAGGCACGTGTACAGAGGACTCAGCATTTCTTCACGGGGTTGCTTTTTCCACTCCCTTTTCTCCATTTGCAATCATTCTTAATTGGTTTTAATTTTTTTATTAGGGTTAATTTTTTTAAGTTAATATAATAATTACTAATTATTCATATGCAATTGAAACAATCTCATTATAAAAACTCGCAAGTATATTTTTGTCTGTATGTATCAATCATTTTAAAGTCATTGCAATTATATATAAGTTAGTAATAAATTATTTCATTGATTTTTTTAGGTTTGGGTAAAGGACAGAAATTTACACAATAAATTTTTTTATTTATATTCTTATTTATTGTTAAAATGCTTTTTTTCTTGAAATTTGATTTCCAAGATTAACAAGCTTTCATAAATAAAGTTCTAAAAACTGTTTATATTTATTGTTTTTATTCTTATAATAATAGTGTTATTACTTAAACCATTTTTTATATTTAAGAATATATCCAACTAGCATAATTTTCATTTAAAGATTATTAGAACTTTAAAAATAAAAATATATAATTAAAGTTAGTTGGTGATTATGTAATTAATTAAAGAAGTTATATATAATTTTTATTTAATCTTATTCATTTAAATAAGATATACTAATCTATACAAGTCAATTATAAAAGTTTATTTTCTTTAAAGTTCATTCTTACTTAACATGATCTTACAATTTTTTTTTACATTCAAATTTCACTCGTTGAAAATAAAGAAAAGAGAAAGACGAATTAAAAATTAGTGGGACAATGAGAAAATGTATTTCATCAATGGAAAGAACTAAAATGGAAGTGAACAGAAGATAAAAAGGAGCCGAAAAATAAATAGATAAAGGAGAGAGTTGGTTTAAATTTTCAATAAAAGTATTTTTAAAAATAGAATTTAATATGGAAGTACAAGTAGAAAATAAGTGAGGTGCAAAAAGCAAATACTTTTCTTTTTAAGTGAAAAAATCTAGCTTACATGAAGTTTGGCTCTCAAGTATCGCAAATCAAGTTCACGAGAGAAAAAAAAATTTATAAGAAAAGCTTAACTTAATAATATAAAAATTTAAATATATTGTTCATCCTTGTAAATGTGATTAAATTTAATTTTAGTCATCAAATTATTTTTAGCAAATTTTAATTTTTATAAATTATAAAATTTTTAAAAATATTTGTATCATTAACATAATATGTACTTAGATA